GTGAAATTGGATATCATTTATATGATATTGTTCTACATTGAGAACATTTCAATTGTTTATTTTCATTAAAATGGAAGTAACTGATAAATATAAAAGGCATGTTTTATATTTTTTATTTTTAAGTGATGAGAATGCTACAAATGCAATCAAAAAAATAAATACAGTAGAGTGTCGTTTATCTGAAAGTTGATCAAGCGAAATGTTGGTTAACCGAAAGCGTTCCAGTTGGACTGTGTCATGCTGAATCGAATGTTTTTGATACTAGATTAACTTCCAAAATATAATTTTTTTGTTTTATATTTTTCTACTTATTTTGTTTGTACAAAATAAAGAAATAGTTTTTAATGATACAATAGCCACTATTATTATTTTAAAAAATTTACGTTAGGCTTAACATCGATGAAAATTCAACGCGAAGTGACATGCAACGGAGAAAAATTTCAACACGGGATAGGTTAGTATATTTTTTTTGTACATAATCGGTTATCCGAACAACCCCAGTACCAATTGATTCAGATAAATGAGGCTCTACTGTACTGTACATAATCAAACTGTAATTAGTGTAAGGACTGCGCAGAAATGGTTTGAAAGATTTAGAAACTGATTTTTAGGGTTTATACAAAAACCGACTTTTTAAAGAACTGCAAAAGATGACTTTTAGAGGTATGGTTTCTTTGACTTTTTTGCTCCTATGAATATGCTCTACAGCTCTGATAAGGTCCCAACTGTCTCATTCAGAGCTTGAATTGAGCCGAATTGGTCGCTTTTTAGGCATAGAAGGATTTTTTTGTTTTGTAGTTAGTTTTATGAAACTTAGTATTTAACAATATTCCTATTTTATGCTAGAGATGATTTTGTGTCAATCACAGATGATGTTGATGTTTTTAATCAAATAATTAATTAATTTTTATGTTTTAAGTGTAGGCATAAAACCAACTTTTTTACTTGGGAAAACCCAGTTTTCAAATTATACAAATTTCTTCAAAAAACTAGTTTTTCAAAATCAGGTTTTAAAAACCAACAAACCCTAATGATTTTAGTGTAGAGGATAAGGCTTGTACAAAAAGACTGGTTGACTTTGGTGATGATGCTCTCTCTGCATTAGTTGAAGCAGAACCGTCTTTAACAGTTGATGAAATTGCAGAATGTTTAAATTCATCTAATGGAACTGTTCATAGACACCTACAACAAATCAGAAAAATTTTAAAACTAGGAAAATGGATACCACACAAACTGTCAATAGCTAATCAACAATAACGTGTTATTAGCATGTCTGTTTTGTGTTAGCATGTCTGTCCGTTTCTTCTGTTTATTAGGGTTTATATCAGGCTTGAAACGGATACAGCAGAAAATGCATTTTTAAGTAACAGATAGCTCAAATGCTTTTTACATTACTATATTCCCTTGTTATATTATATGTTATATTTCAGGCATCTTAATTTCTTTTTAATGTTTGTAGTATTTTCTCTTTATGGTCCCAATTTTATCTTCATGTTTTAATATTAGCTATTGATAAAGATGACTTTCTAATTTTTTAATAGAATATTGTTCAAAAACATTCGAAAAGCCTATTCGTTTATGCAAATGTATTAAGTGTTTGAATTTTAAAGTTTTTTTCTTGATAAAGGTCATTTAACATGACCGAAAACGTTAGAAGTTAATAAATTTGGCTGCACGTTTACAAGGTGTTAGAGTAAGTTTTGTTTATTGAATAATATGCAGTCTCAGTTGAATTGAAATGTCTATTTAAGCTTTGCTTATGATTATATTTCAAATTACACTCACCACATTCCATTTTATATGACAATATATATACAGGTATACTGCGAGCTATGTTGTTTGTCAAAAAAAATATATGAAAAAATAAAAATCAAGTTTAAGTCATTTTATTCGACTTTACATCTGTCTGCCGCAAACATTGAAGTCGTAATATCACTAGAAAAGCGTTAAAGCACATAAAATCATATTAAAATATGTATATTTACAGTAAATGTTAATATAATCATCATAAATTCTAGAGAACGAAATATGAAAACATCTTGACTGTGTTGTCTTATTTAGTGGTCTTTAAGTGCTCAATATTGGTGTTTTCCACGGTAGTTCTAATATCTACCATTTGGCGTCATTGTCAGTGCCATTTGATATTGGTAAATTTAACATAAATTAGTTTATTTTCTACTGTCGCAAGATAATTTTAATAACTGTATTTGTTATTTAACCTTACAAAATCATCTTATTTTATAATGTCTTAGAGCAAACCACATTTACAAATAAAGAGTCCGCGATGTACTGTAAACATTGCCAAATTGTAAACATGTACATTTACAAGTATGTACTGTACATACATAAATTTGTAAATTTAGATTACTTTTTTCTGTATTATATTAAAAACTAAAATTTATTTCTTTGTAAGCTTAAAATAGATTCTTATTAACCACATATTATTAAAAATGCATTTATAAATAAAATACAGAACTGAAAATGGTTATTTGTGGTTTAGCCTAGTGACAAGTAAATTTGACTTAAGTCACCTCTCCTGGAACCAATTACCGACGTAAGGCGAGGTATACCTGTATTAGCAAAATATTAGCATGGCCAACTGAAACCAACACAAATTGAGTGCTGGCTATTGGCATTTTTCACCATAGCAGCATAATTTAGAACTAATACTTGCTCAGGGTCTAGACCAGTAATTCTAACCTTTTTTTACCCATGGACCCCTTTTCCTCTTAATTTTTCTTGGTGGACCCCCATAGACATTGCACAGAAAAAAACCTTATATTTTTTACTAATAAAAAAAGAAAAGAATTGTATCAAAAATAAAAGAAATAGTAAATGATTATGCTTTATTTTGAAGGAAAGCCAATTTTATATATATTGTTTTATTATTTTATATATTTGTTTTTTGTTACATTACTTCAAATTGGAAAAATATTTTATTGAAGCTCTGAATTTCAGAAAAAGTAACTACTGCATTTATGAACTAGCACTTTTAATACCTCTTAATGGAGTGTTGCACAGAACTGAAGATTAGGGTTAAAATAAACTGATTACCTTTATACTGGAGGGAGGCTATAAAGTTTATAACCTCCCTCCAGTATAAAGATTTTCAAAATCTGGAACAAAAAGACACAAAACGTTCAGAAATGTCACTGTCAAGTGACTTGATGCTGATGGTATAGGATTCTCCTAACAAACCCCGGCTTTATAATCTGACTTTTGTCACTGAGATATATATGTCATATATGTATTCAATACAGTGGTATCTCAGGATACGAACGCCCCAGCATACGAAATTTTCAGAATACGACATGAAATTCGAACATATTTTTGCTCCACGATACGAACAAAAACTTATCATACAACGTTACATTAGTTCGCAGTGCCATTTTTTATTCACTTCTGTTCATTGGTCTCAGTCCATGTGTTTGCTTCGTTGTGGAAGGATCTTGCTCGATAAAGGAAATCTTGAGGTATTATCAGAAAGTGACTGATTTTATTGAAAAGAAACATCCCGTAAAGGTTCACAATGGCCGTATTGCTGCTCAGTTTAATGACATTTGCCTGAGTCATTTTACCAAGCGACATGTATCCAGTAAAAATGCTGGTGGAAGTGAAGGAAAAAAAGCAAAAAGCAGTGAATAAAAATTTAAAAAAAATATATAAATATATATATATACAAAACAACACTATTTTTTTTAACCTTTTCTGAATTATTTTTAAGTTATTGTTACATTATGCTATGTAAGTTAAGTTTTAGTATCATTTCCCTTCTCCCTCTCTTCCGCCACCAGACCAGTTTACACCTCCACCGTTGTCTACCCTTAAAGGTAAAGTGCAAATAAAATTACTTTTTTTTTTTATCAATTATTATTCTATTATGGTTATTTATACATTTACAACTACAAAATGCATTTTTCAGTGTTTTCCTTACTATAGTTATTTTTTTAATGTATTACTTAGCTTTAATTTGAGTGTGTTTTTCGTGTTGGAACGAATTATTTGATTTTACATGTAATCGTATGGGGAAAAATGATTCACCTTACGACATTTTCATGATATGATCTCAGTTTCAGAACGGATTAATTTCGTAACCTGAGGTACCACTGTATTTTAAATAATTTATTTTAACCCTTATGCAAGAAATGAGTAATAAAGAAATTGACAATATCTATATTGTAGAAATTTAATTCTCTGTAAAACAATTGTTCTGAAGTAGAATTACCCTATAGACCACTAAAATATCACACACACCCCCAATTTGGTATTTTTTTTTCTGTGGACCCCCCAGTAATGTTACATGGACTCTGGTTAAGAACCACTGGTCTAGACACTTGTGATATAGATTATCTTTATACAGATGATATCCTAGTTTTGGCAAATTCATCAGCAATCTTCAATCTAAATTAAATAATCTCTATCTCTACTATCAAATCTGTTTAGAAATAAATATCTCAAAGTCAAAAATAATATCTAGGTTGGAAGGAATTGAAAGAACTTTTCATTTAAAAAATTAAAAATTTATTGTAAGATAAGCAAACTTCTCATTGCATTTTTTAAAAATACAATATCTACAAGACAAAATTTAAAATTTTAAGATTAATTTAAAAGTATTTACAGTATAACCATCTTCTTTATTGATAATATAACTCTTTCTAACCTGTTACCGGTGCGTCTACTAACTCTTAACGATCCAAAAAACGAACCAAAACTAACGTTTTCGAACCCCTATAACGGTTCTTCTTCAGGCTTTTTTCGAATCTCTGATGGAAAATGCAGCTCGTAAAAACTTTAAATTCGAAATATGTAAGTTCGAATGCACATTTCCCGTTTCCGTCGTTGTTCTTTATTGATGCTCATAATTCAATTGTAAGGAAATGTTTACTGTATTTGCTTAATAAATTATCATTTCATTTTTGAAAAAAACTACAGATTTAATTCTGATTCTTGTGCAACCTTTCTAATTTACTTTTTTAATACTGATTATAGTTTAAACTTACCAATCAGCAGCAAGCTGAACACCCCTATCTCCTGTAGCTGCAAGAGCTTTCTCTCTGCAAAATAAAACAAAATATATAAAAGAATATATTAAATTCATAAAAAAAGTGAAATGTCTTAAGACATTAAAATTGTAATTTGATAAATTTTAAAAGTACACTGTCTTAAAAAATTAAACCAAACTTCAATATGGAAAAAACATTTCCACTTATACAGCTTTAAAAACATAACACAGTTTTAACATGTTATAACCACTTCTTGTTTTTTCCATATTGAAGTTTGGTTAAATTTTTTAAGACAACTTGCTTTAAAATTGTAATTTGATTACAATACAGTAAAACTGTGTTATAATCAACTGGAATTGCACAATAGTGAACTTTTTCTGTTTTAAACGACTTTTAGTATTTTTCTTTTCTTTTTTTTCTTTCTTTCTTTAATTTTAAATTACATCAGATAAGTGTAACATAGTTATGTTTATTTTTACAGTAAAATCACTTTTTACATATATAAAAAAATTTTATTACTAGGCTTAATCCAAAGTGATAATTTCAACTATGGAAGGTAGTATTTGAATGCAAGAATTAAGATCTATTCAATTGCAAAAATGTTCTTTCTTCCAAAGAACTTGTGCTAGGTGTTTGAATAGTTCTCAGATATAATCCTTATAAGCTCACATAACAGTGAACACGACAATTTGAGTACCAAGAACTTTTATCTTGCTTTACTATCAGCAATTCTAATCACGTTGCAGTGAATACAGACACCAAATTGTTTTGTAATCTGACTTCTCAAAGAATTTTAATATACTAATTAACAATTTACTTCAATCTCTCTAAATATCTATATGTTAATCAATTTGTTTTGAATGAATATTTAGTACTACAGTAGAGTGTCGATTATCCGAATCAATTGGGGACTGGGGTTGTTCGGAAAATTGATATTTTGGATAACTGATTATGTACGAAAAAATATATTAACCTATCCCATGTTGAAATTTTTCTCCGCTGCATGTCACTTTGCGTTGAATTTTTGTAGATGTTAAGCCTAATGAAGACTATTGTATTGTTAAAAATTATTTTTTTATTTTGTACAAACAAACTAAATGTATTGAAAAATATAAAAACAATAAAAAATTATACTTCAGAAGTTAATTTAGTATCAAAAATGTAAACTATTTGAGTAGCCCAAGACATAGCCAAAGATTGCAGCGCCACAGCACTGGCGAAAATTTAAATTTGCCGACTGGAATTCTTTCGGATAATTGACGTTTCGGATAATTGACTTTCGGATAATCGACGCTCTACCATAGTTAGTTAATAACTATTCTGTACAAGGCAAATTGGCAGCAGCCAATTTTCCACTAGTAATGTGACACACACACACACACATACATACATACATACATACAGACCCCAAAATTGGAAAAACTAATAGTATCATTGTAATTATATCATAATTTATAAATAATTCTACAGGTAAATTTAGTTATGTCATTTAGTAAACAATATTTCTAGTCTTTCAAGACATTTCAGATATATGAAGAATCTTGTTAAAAACAACATTGGGCACGTGTGTATTGGGTATGTGTGTGTAAATCCAAATCAGTGATCATACAGTGACCAGGAGATAATCCCAAAACACTGGGTATTGTGATCTTTCCTCTTTCCTGTCTACTGTCTCATAGAATCTGCTACACCTTTAGGTATAAAATAGTGAGTAAGTGTTAGATTTTAGTTCCTGCACATGTACTATTGTTGCGAATTTACTTGTGGTACTAAACAACCGATTACTGTGTATAGTGTAAATTTAGTGGAGTGGGATCCAAACAAAAACCTAGTTCACAAGCAGCATATAAAATACTTGTGATTAAAAGACTTTACTAAGTTTTCTTTGTGCTATTCTTATTCGCTAGTCTATACACGCTGTTCACGAACATCACAATAAAAATATAAAAATAAATAAATATACATTAAATTAATATTAAAATAAATTAAACTTTTTAAAATTTTGTAAATTTAAAAATATTCTATTAATAAGCTTCAAAGCATGTTGAATGTAAAATTCAACATGCTTTTAATGTGTTCTACTGAAAGCCATTGGACATGTCAAATTCTCTATTTTGCTTAGCCTAAAGATGGTCTTTAAAAAGGTCAAAAACATTAATAATAATGAATTTTGCTAATGTTATGGTATGTTGTGCTTATGAGTTTTAAACCTATCCAGCTTATGATATCACTATATGATCAATGGCAGAGATTTGAATCTGTCCAGGATTTCATATTCCTGGGATCTAATAAGGAAAAGTAACAAAATGACTTTTAAATATTTCATGTTTAAAATAAAAGTTTATATAAAATTAAACTTATACAAAATAATCAAAAATTCTTAATCATAAACATTTTTGAGTGGTACAAAAAAAGGAACCAGTTTTAAATTATTGCATTTATATATACTGGAGCAAATATATTCACAAGAGTGAGTGGGAAACTGGTTGTCTTGGCCCATGAATTTGTATCCCATGAACATCCTGGATTCAAATTTTGATTTTTTTAAGAATTTTTTTATTTTTAGTTTCACAGGAATGATGGATTATATTTTTTCACCACCAATTTATTTATTTTTGAATTTGTTCACTTTATTTAATATGTAAATTAGTAAATACATAATTTCTGTGCTCACAATTGAATTTATTAATAGTTGTAAACAATGATTATCCATTTTTAAAGAAGCTTGAATTTGTCCAAAGATATACTAAATAACAAACAAACAACTTGAAACTTGCTCTGTATATACCAATTCATTTCTTTTTATAAAGTATGTCACTGTTATATACAGATTAAGAATAAAAAAGTTTTTTTCATTTCAAGCAATATTTATGAAATTGTATGTGATGATACAAAAGTGAGTCATTGGCACCTACTGGAGAATAAAATAATGGAAAACCATTGTAAGTAATTATGTCCTGGAAAAGTATGAAACCAAGCAATAAAATATAACCTCTATAATATTTTCTTACATCTCCAGATAGTAATAAATAAATTCTGAAAAATAATATCCACATCAAATCTTCTTTGTAGTATCTTATAAACATTTCTCTAGTAGCTTGTTATCTTGATAATGACCAACATTTTTGATCCTTCAGGTGGATCTTCTTCAGGTCAAACATAATGGAACATTTTTAAGATGCAATGTTTATGTTTGACCTGAAGATCAAGCTGAAGGATTGAAAATGTTGGTCGTTATCAAGATAACAAGCTACTGGAGAATCATTCAGAAGATACTACAAAGAAGGTTTGGTGCTATACTTCTACTCCAATATTAGTAAGTGTGAGAAGAACATAACATCCACAATTTATCAAAATCTTCCAGTGTCTGAACGATGGAAAATCACATCATTGGTATCTACAGCAAGTGTCACATTATGTAAAACTACCGGTAACAAAAGAGTTAATAATTTTGTAAACTACCATAATGTACAGTAAGACCCCACTTAATGCTGATTCAATATAACGCTGTCTGCTCAAAGCCTAAAAAAAAAAAAAAAAGCTCATAATATACTCCAACAGAGCCGTAACTAGGCAGGTGCAACAGGTGCACCCGCACAGGGCCCATTTGGAAGGGGGCCCAAACTGCTATTCACAAGAAATTATATTTTTAAATTTTTCCGCCTTTCTACAGCGTGGTTTGGCGATTACATTTCGCCTTACTTAGACCCTAGATGTCTGCTCACCAGTGTTCCCAACTGTGGCGACTTTTAGAGGGACGTAGTGAGGTAGCGGAGACCTCAGACAAATCAGCCAAAAGTAGCGACTTTTGATATTTTTAAATTTATTTAGAAATCTAAATGTATGTTTATTGTTTTCAAATTTACAGATTTTTCTCTATTTTATGAGCTTTCTGGCAACTACTAATATTATTACAATATACAAAACTGTATTTCTAGATTTTTCTACGGTGTGCAGAGCTAGAAATCTGTAAAGGTAACATTTTGTAACAAAAATAAATCTGCCCGAGGATTTTTTTTAAACTTACTAAATTGAAAACGGTAACTCCCGATTAAATTCTTAGTCTCGAGGTTGTAAAAGGCGTGCAGAAATTCTGACATCAATTTTTGCTTTATAGTGGTACGCATATGTGGTGTATACCTGAACGGCGGATTAAGCGGTAAGCGAACTATGCGGGCGCGTAGGGCCCGAAAGGGGCTCCCGCAGTCTTTAAAATGCTACTGAAAAAAGGGATTGCGAAAACACAGAAGATAGAAATAGTCCCAAAAAAA